TCACCCAGAGACTCCAATATCAAATAATTAAGGACTAGACCTGAAATTATAATCGGAACCCCATAATAGGATTTAAGGTGTATTTCCTTAGTTAAAGGATATTTTGGGGCTAAACCCTGAACCCTAAACCGTGGCCTGGGTGGGTTCCTTGAAGACGTCCATTAAAAGGCGCTCGTAAAGGAACCCCTTGAGGAACCTGCAACCCTAAACCCTAAACCCTATCACGGTTTAGGGCTTAGGGTTTCGGGTGTCGGGTTTAGGGTTTAGGGTTTAGGGACTGCAAACGGACCCTTACAGGAACCCTTAAAATGAGCCTTAAGGAACCCTTATTGAAGGAACCTCTAAAGGGACCCTTAGTTTCTAAAGGGAGCCTCTAAAGGGACCCCTAAAAAGGAACCCCTGAAAAAAATAATAAACCCCCTAAGGCAACCTACAAGAATACCCCTTTGGGGTTGAGGGTTTAGGGTTTAGGGTCTGCCTCCGGGTCCTGGAAATTCCGTCGGCCCCCCGAGCTGATCCCCGAAGTCCTGGTAGGCCCTTGATGGTTGCAGGTCGTTACTGCAGGACGCCTTTATAGCACCTAGAATGGGGTTCTTGGTGTATTTTATACTAGTACCAGATCAATACTGTAGGGGCCTTAGTACGTAGAATAGGGTTTTGGAGTGCTTCATACTGGAACTGTGATATGGAACCCCAACATAGTACTGGTAGGTATGAGGGTCTCAATGCGGCCGTAGCACCTTTCATAGGAACTATATGAGGGTACTGTGGCCTTAGTCTAAGTGGCCTTCGGAAGTATTAGGGCTTCGGGGTAGGTTCACATATGATTATATAGGGGCCATCAAAACAGTGGTCGTAACGCCTGCGTTTATGCTTTAACCCTAATGAAAAGAAAGCACGAATGTTAACACGCACAAATGTTGGCTTTAGTAATAACTCCTTGGGCTTGTGGCACAACAAAAAACGAAAATCGACTCCCCTAAACCCGAACATCCCGTAGAAGCCCGCCAGGGCACATTTCGGAGATCCTTGTCATCTCCGCCAGACACTGTGCCAGGAACCTCCTTGGGTTTGCTTACAGAGCCCAAAAAGCACTATGCATTCATTCTTATATGGTCTCAAGAGGGCTGAACAAGGGTCTAATATAGAACTAACTACGGTTGATGATAGAAATCCTGCATTACCCATAATAAGGAATATGCCATAACTCCCATAGTTTAAGGTCCTTAAGGCTTAAGGTAGTGCAGGATTTCTATCCTCAACAGTAGTTACACTATCCCTGTATCGTCCAGCTATGATTTCATTGTACATGTACGGGGGGGGGGGGTGAACCACAGCCTCAAGGCCCTAGGGTTTAGGGTTTAGGGTGCTTGGAGGATTAGGGGACTTAGCACGTAAGGCTGAGGGCTGAAAGCCGTACCCCAAGGAACACCATGCGAAGTGCCTGACAACTGAAGAGTCGAAGAGATGGACCCATGCTTGGGGCCAGACTCAGTCTCCATAGGCCAAAGAAGCACCCTTCCCAAGTGTGGAAGTTGGGAAACCCCGCTCCCGAACCCTAAACCCTAAACCCCAAACCCTAAACCCTAAGCCAAAACCCTAAACCATGAAACCGACTCAGCTTTATGGCATCGAGGCTCAAGTGGAGTGAACTGCAAGACCCTAAGCCCTGCAAACTGAAGCCTCTAGGACCCCAAAAGATGCCCTTATAAAGCCCCCGAGGCGCCCCGTAAAGGAGCCCCATGAAGGAACCCCTTCAAAGGAAACCTTTAAGGGAACCCTGTTATAGAACCCTATAGTAGCCTTAAAGGAACCCTGTTCAGGAACCCTATAGTACCCTTAAAGGGCTCCCTGTGACAGAACCCTGCTAGTAACCTTAAAGGGCTCCCTGTTATAGAACCCTATTAGTACCCTTAAAGAGCTTCCTGTTACAGAACCCTACTAGTAACCTTAAAGGGCTCCCTGTTTAGAACCAAACCTTCTATCCTGGGTCGACCTTAAACCCTAGACCCCAAAGCCTAAACCCTAAACCCCTAAACCCTAAACCCTAAACCCTGCTATCCTGGGTCGAGAGACGCCCAGGATCCAATCCAAAATGCGCACGGCGTTGTTGCCTGCAATGAAATGCAGCGCCGTCCACCCGAACTCATACCTCGCAGGCTTCGGCTGCAAGGTGCTTTGAGTGTTTGGGGCCTACCTTAACCCCAAATAACCTACCGTTTTAAGCACTTATATAAAGAATTCATAATAAGGAACCCTAATAGAGTTTCCCCCCCAAGGTGCTGAGGTAGAAGCAAGAAAGTTGCGTTTGAGGTCTAGGGTTCACGATTCCTTCGGGCTTCTATGGCCAAGACTAGTAAAGACGTAGATTCAACAGCAATCGTCCCATCCACTGTGCCTGTCCCACCCTTGTGGCGTCTCAGCCCCATGGCCCGACCCACTAAAACTTTACGTAGAGCCGCAGAACCTGAAATCCGAACTCCCAGCCCAACATAAGGGCCTTAATAAGTAGAATAGGGCTTTGGGGGTATATCGGTATATTACTACTATGTGATCATAACAAGGAACCCCCCCGAGACTGGTATAGGTAATTCTGAAGGCCCCTCCATTACGAGCCAAACCCATGCGCCTCTGTGTCGTCAGCCGAGAAATCAGGTCGCCACCCTCCTGGTGATAAACCCTAAACCTTAAACCCTAAACCCGATTATTAGGGGGCGGCTTAAAGGGATCTATAGGGTTTCCATAAAGGGTACCATAAGGGTTCTATATGGGTAGTTCTCTAAAGCAGGGTCCCGTTTTAAGTCCCAGATATAGTACGGCAACCTTATGCAAAGGACCCTAAAAAGGACCCTAGTTTAGAGAACTACGCATGAGAAGATCCACGTTTGGGGTAGAATGAGGCTTCGCGCTTTGCTTAAGGGCCCAGGGGACTTGGTCAGAAGGAGTAGAATTGGAGTTAGAGGTCCCCTGTATGGGGTTACCCAGAGACTCCAGTATCCCTTAGTTCAGGAATATACCTTAAGTCTTAATTCCGGTTCCTACTATAATTTAAGGCAAACATTCCTTAATTGTAAGGGGTTTCGGAGTCTCTTTGCAAGGAAACTTTACAGTTCTATAGAGCTTATAAAAAGTTGTAGCAAGGATCCATTCCTTAAGTAAGGAGCTCTGGAGTCTCTGGGTTATCCTAACCCCTTAACCCTACACCCTAAACCCTAAAACCAAAACCCCTAAACCCTAAAACCAAAACCCTAAAACATAAACCTTAAACCCTAAACCCTTCACCCCGAACGATAGCCTCACCCTTAAAGCCTCGCTGACTTAGTCCCTTGGCCTTAAGAGTAGGCCCGAAGGACGGTTGAGGGTGGTAAGGGGTTTAGGGTTTCGGGCTTGGGGTTTAGGGTAACTGACCAGCCGCTGCCGTGCTTGATCCTCCCACATTTGTTGACATCCCTGTCGCATCGGTAGAATAGAAGCCGTCCGGCAAAAGGGCTGTCACACGCCGTCTGTCAAACACTTTGTTGGCCTCGACGGACACCGGCTTCTGTTTGCCTCTACCTGTGCATTCCCAGTCTTCTTCCTGATTCTTCCTACCGTCCCAGCAATGTCCAAGAGAGACCTTTCCGCAGCCCTTGCTTTGTCCCACGTCTCTTGAAGTTCTTGCTTGCCTCGTGCTTGCACCAGGTCTGTGAACTCAGGATGGTTCAGAAGAGCGTTAGGGTGTTTAGGGCTTAGCGTTTAGGGTTTAGGGCTTTGGGTTTAGCGTTTAGGGTGTAAGGGTTTAGGGTTTAGGGACGGGCCTTATCTTTCAGAGGGGCTTCCAAAGCTCTATGTACTCCCTACAGTCTGGCCGGAATCCGGGGCTTGAGGTCGCGCTAAACTTCGGTTTAGGGTTTAGGGAAACCCTACGTTACATCCTAAACCCTACAAGCCCTAAACCCTGAACCTCAAACCATGAAGCCTAAACCCTAAACCCTGAGCCCTGTACCCATACTAAACCAAAAACCTATGCGCTGAGCAAAGCCTCCTAAGTTTCCCCAGTATCCCCCTCTTACAAATGAAGGTTTAGGTTGTCGTGTCTAGGGCCTTTCAACATCGTAGTTTTCGTTTCTATGTGTTATGATGTACTATGTATATGTTTCCTATGCTTCCGTTTTAGACGCCCCCCTCCTTAAAGACCTGCACGCGCCAAGCCCCTTATACCACAGTAAGAGTGTATATTGCCACAGTGATCCCCTACGGATATCCTCTGAGCCACCTCACAAATGAATCCCGCGAGCCCTCGTCTCCATCAAGACACAAAAGCCCCTCAATCCATGAAGGAACACACTCAATCCATGAGGGAATAAACTCACAAACGAAGCGGGGTCTTGAATACAATCACACAAGGGACCATACCTGATTCAGGAATGTACAGTACATTATCTTACACTGAGGTCACTTCTGTCCTCCTGTTGTAGAGGTGTCTTTGAATCTAGTTGAGCTACATTCCTAGACCCCACTTGGAGGATCAGGGGACTTAGTAAGCATAGTTCTAAGTACCTTTATTGGAGTGATAAGCAATTGCAAGTATAGTTATCCGAATAATAGCCCCAGTTACTAAATCCCATGATCCTTTTCAGATCCCTAAAGCCTCCCCTTATAGAACCCTTATAGATCCCTGTTACGGAGGGTTTCCAGGAACCCTCTAAGTTACAAGTCCCATGATGCTGTAAGTAAGAACCCCAAAGCTTCCCCCTTATGGAACCCTTTAAGATCCCATTTAAGGAGCCCTTAGAGGAACCCTTTAAGTAAGCTAAGTCCCATGATCCTTTAAGCCTGGAAGCACCCTAAACTACCAAAAATCCAAAACCGCAAACCCCAAGCTGCCCATAAGGAGCCCGAGTCCTTAATTGTTCTGTAGGGTTTAGCCACCCTAAACCCGAAACCCCTAAACCCCTAAACCCCTAAACCCGTAAACCCCTAAACCCCAGACCCTAAACCCTAAACCCCCTAAATCCCTAAACCCCGAAACCCCTAAACCCCCAAAACCCTAAACCTCCAAACCCCTAAACCCAAACCCCTAAAACCCTACACCCCCAAACCCCTAAACCCTTAAGCCTAGTGTAGGGTAATTTACACTTTAGTGGGGTTTCTGAGTCCCCTGGGCCGCCTTCTCCATGGCCGCCCGGTACGCGTCGAGATCATCCGCTTGAACGATCCTCACAGAAATTGGTGTAAGGGCCGAGGGGTGTAGGGTGTAAGGGGTGGAGGGGTTTGAGGGGCTTGAGGGGTTGAGGGGTTTAGGGCTTTAGGCTTAGGGGTTTAAGGGTTTAGGGGTTTAGGGGGTTGAGGGTGCAAGGGTTGCAGGGTGCGTAGGAATTTGGGTCTTACTAATGTACTTACCAAAAGTTTTAGCATAATATACCCCCCAAAACCCTATTCGAATTATTAAGCCCCCCATACTATGCGAATTAAGGGTTTCACAGAGTTAATAGACAAAGGCTATTTGGGGTAGGTGGCTATAGTGTATCGTACTTATGATATGGTTTGGGGTAGATAACTATAGTGTATGGTACTGATACCATGGTTTTGGGGTAGATAGCTATAGTGTATGGTACTTACAATGTGGTTTTGGGGCAGATAGCTGTAGTGTATGCTACTGATAATACGTTTTGGGGTTCATAGCTATAGTGGATGGTATTTATAAACTGGTTTGGGGTAGATAACTCTAGTGTATGGTACTTATAATATGGAGCCGGGCTGACAGGTCGTAGGGCGTGTGCCTTTGTTGGTAGGGAAGGTGGTGGGATCGACATCGAGGTCAGGGGATCGCTTTTTTTGCGATGCTTCAGGTTGTGGGTCTTGTAGGCTTGAGGGCTGAGGGCCTGTGAAGATCGTTGCGGAAATATTTCGGGTTTATGCTTAGGGCTTAGGGTTCTTGAAAGGACACAACGAGGATATTCAACTTCAGGGATTGCTGCTGAAAAACCTAGGAGTTATTTTTTCACCGCCAGACTCCACTCCAGCCCTGTATACTCAACCATAAGGCCTAAGCCATGCAACATAAACTCTAAACCACCATGCCCTAAAGCCGGCCAAGCAGCTTGTCGTGCGGAAATGGCCGTGCATCCATCTTCATGATGCGCAGCGCCCAAGAGGCTTAGGGTTTGGGTTTTTTTTAAGGGTTTAGGGTTTAGGGTCTTAGGGTTTAGGGTTTAGTGTTGTTCATTGTTTTGCTGCCTTTGCAGTTATTGCTACGGCTAGTATATTCATCTCTCCATTGCTGAGATTGTCTGGTTGTAAGTCGGGTTACTTATCGGTTATAGGTACAGAGGCACAATTGGAACTCGGGTGCTTATAACACGGCTTGAAAAGTACTCCCTATTCAGGTCGCGTGAAACATGGCTGAGAAGATGAATGATCAGGAGTTAATCTGAAAACCTAAACCCTAAACCCTGAAACCTAAAGCCCATTGTAAAGGAGCCTTGAAAGTCATCACCTTAAAAACAAACCCTAGTCAAGACCGAACTAAGGCCTTTACTTGTAGGGGAAAGACAGATCATGGAACACTGGGTTTTTCTTTAAGGGCTTCTCTTAAGTTTCCCTTAAGGGTGTCCTTTAAGTTTCCTTTAAGGGCTTCCTTTAAGTTTCCTTTAAGGGCTTCCTTTCAGTTTCCTTTAAGGGCGTCCTTTAGGTTTCCCTTAAGGGCTTCTGTTAAAAGAGCTGCTATATGTGGTTGCAAGCATCTGCAAGCACTGAGTCTACAGGAAAGCCTTGGGCCGTGAAGGAAAGCGAACGCAGCTCTCTGAGCTTCAGCTTAACTGGGGCTTTCTTAGGGTTTAGGGCTTAAGGGTTAAAGGGTTCAGGGTTTACAGGGCTTAGGGTTAAAGGGTTTAGGGTTTACAGGGCTTAGGGTTAAAGGGCTTAGGGCTTATAGGGCTTAGGGTTAAAGGGTTTAGGGTTTGGGGTTTATAAGGGTTTAAGGGTTTAGGGTTTGTATGGCTTAGGGTTTCAGGGTTTAGGGGTTTAGGGCTTAAAGGTTTAAGGGTTTAGGGTTCAGGGTTTACAGGGGTTCAGGGTTTAAGGGTTTAGGGTTTAGGGTTTAAGAGTGTAGGGTTTATAGGGCTTAGGGTTTCAGGGTTTAGGGCTTAAGGGTTTAAGGGTTTAGGGTTTAGGGTTTATGGGCTTAGGGTTTCAGGGTTTAGGGAGCGAACCTCGTTGTAGCTGGGTTTGAAGTTCATGGAAATTCAGGTACTTCGGTTTAGCGCGTTTGGCTTTAGCTTAGGTTCAGGGCGCCCCAAGTCAGTAGAAGCCATAAGCCCTAAACCCTAAAACCTTAAACCCTAGACCCCTAAACCTTACCCTAAACCCATAAACCCCTAAACTCCTAAACCTTTAAGCCCCTAACCCTGAACTGTGGCTTGGGGAGGGCACCGTCAGTCTCCAAAACTTTCGCGCCTCCTTCGAACCCCCTAAACCCCACAGCCCGGAACCCTCGTAGGCCCAAAGAATGGCTCCGGGCTCAAGACCCTACACCCTGAACCCTTAACCCTGAATCCTAAACCCTAAACCCTAAACCCTGAATCCTAAACCCCTAAACCCCAAACCCTAAACCCTGAACCCTGAGCCCAGAACCCTAAACCCTTACGATTTCGCAACACGTCACGTCGAGCTTTCGCTTCGGGGGGCCCTACTTCTGGAGCCTCCGACCGAAATCCCAAACACGCTTTAGGGATCTTTGGCGTTTGGGGTTTAGGGTTTAGGGCCGGTTAAACCCAAAGACCCTACATAGTCCAAGGTAGGTACTACTTCTAGACCTTAGACCGCGAAGTAGGTTAAAAGCCTGCATTACCGTAAGGACCCTAAACTATGGGAATTATGGTATATTCCTTGTTATGGATAATGCAGGATTTCTATCATCAACCGTATTTGTAGACTGTGGCGGCCTAGCGCAGGCTGCGCAACCAAAACTCCTGGACCCAATAGGAAAACCAGGCCTAGAGGGCTTAGGGTTTGGGTTGGGTACTGCCCCCATGCAGCAACAGTCCAAAATAGGGCTACTACTAAGGGCCTTACACATCCATATTAGGAAAATTACTCAACTGTTACTGAGTGGGGGCAGTATCCAAGGTTTCGGGTTAACCGGGCCCCTGAACCCAAACAATAAACGAAACATCTGCGAGACCTAAACCCTAGAAACCCGAAGTTAGAACCCTAAACCCTAAAACGCAAAACCTAAACCCTGAGCCCCAAAACCTAAAGAATGAACCCTGAACCCCACCCTCAACCCTGAGGCCCTAAACCCTAAAACCCTAAACCCCTAAACCCTAAAACCCTAAACCCTAAACCCCTAAACCCCTAAACCCAAAACCCCAAAACCCTAAAGCCTATCAACGCTCTAACGCCGAGCCTGTCTCGCGGCGAGGCCCGGCGACATAGCGGCAGCAGGGTGCTGTAGGAGATGTCGAGAGTACGTCGAGACTGAAAAGCCCCCTTAGTTTAAGGAATGTACCTTCAATCTCATGTGGGTTCATCTATCCGTATCGATAGTTGTAAAGATTTAAGGTATATTCCTTAGTTAAGGGGCTTAAATTAAGGAGTTGTGGAGTCTCCGGGTAGACAGACCTACCCGGGTAATAGTAAGTTCTAGGGGCGAGTTGCAAGCTTATCCCTAAGCCCTAAGCCCTCGGGCGGTAGAGCTTGACGGGTTCAGGGCTGAGGTCGCCCCAAGAGATTCTTCAAGCGCTAGTTTCAACGGATTTGTGGAGGCTTCTTAAAAGTAGGGTTAGTATCGGGGCCTGAGTCCTCAGAATAGACCCTGAGGGATACTGTTGCTACGGTTCACTATTTCAGGTCTACAGTCTTGCGACAAGGACTTTACTACTCCGGGGCCGATGGTAGGGCTCTGTAATCTTTTGAAACTCCCACTTTGGCTGGGCCCATGTTCTAAGTCTACCTGAGATGGCTGCTTCATGGCAGGTGTCTGTGAGGGAACGAAGGGGTTCAGGCGTTGGCTTTAGGGTTTGGGGTTTGGGACATGAGAACAAGGAACTTTGCATGCCTCCCTGAATCCTTAGCCCAAACCCTACCCCCCAAACCCTGAACCCTAAACCCCAACCCAAACCCTGCACCGTCAACGGCGTACGCGCCATGAAATGCCATGATCAAAGCCCTGTCGTTGGGAAAACATCAGACAGGCAAGCATTGTTCATCAGCTTACTGGGGCTTAGGGTTTAGAGTGTGGGGTTTAGGGTTCAGGGTGCAGGGCAGGGTGTAGGCTTTAGGGAAACTCAAGTTCAACACATCCCTAAACCCTAAACCCAAAATCCTAAACCACTCACCCAGATGCCTAAAGCATGAGCCCTACCTACTTTCAACTCTGACAGTCTGAGGTCGTAAGCCCCTGCCACGAAACCCTCAATCCCTAAACCCAGCCGCAAGTCTAGAGGCTTCTACAAGGATTCTACAGGGGTTTAGGGTTTAGGGTTTAGGAGGTGTAGCGTGTAGGCTTAGGGTTGAGGGTTTAGGGTTTGGGGCTTGGGATTAGGGTTTAGGGTTTAGGGACTATAGGGGTGTCGGGTGTAGGCTTAAGGGTTTGGCCGGAGGCTTTAGGGTTTGAGCCGTCAGGGTCTTATGTTGCCAAAGCAGGGTTTACCCAGACCTTCATATCCCTTACTTTATTAAGATATATGTATGTGTGTATATATATATACATATCTTAAACCATCTTAGGGATCCTACTATAGTCTGGGGCATATATTCCTTAATTAAGGGATCTTGGGAGGTCTGGGTAAGGGTTTAGGGCTGAAGCCTCAAGGTTGATCAGGGGCTTGCACCTTTCAGGGGTGTTGGCATTGAAGGGTGCGACACCTCTTTCGAAAAAGAGGCGCCCCCGAAAAACAACAACTCCCTACATCAGAAACTCTAAGCCCGAATAATTCTGTGTAAAACCCCCCCCTAAGCCCCAAACGCTAAACCCGAAGCCCTAAACCATAAAGCCTAAGCCCCAAACATTCAAACCCTAAGCTCAACGCCCGAAACCCCAAGCCCTAAACCCTAAACCCCAAGTGCCTTTCTGCTCTGAGACTCGGATCAGCTCGGTGTGTGAAACGTGGTCGATCGGGGCATGAGGGTGCAGGGGTTTGGGGTTTAGGGATTAGGGTTTAGGGGTTTAGGGGCTTTGGGGTTAGGGCTGAGGGGTTTAGGGTCTAGGGTTGAG